CCGAGTGGCCGGAGACAGCCGAGCGCCTCCGAGCGCCCAACGCGGAGACAGCCGAGCGCGGAAGGCGCGGGGCGCGGGCTTTCGGGAGAAATCTGGGTGGGGGAGGACCCACCGCCCACTCCCCCAGCCTGCCCCCAAGTCCCGGGAACCCCTGCTTTGGTTAGATGCAGGATGCGATGCATGGGGGCTCCCGGAGGCCCCTGTGACCCCCGCCAAGGGGCAGCGGAGGCGATCCCCACCCACCTGCACATGCGTGAGGTGGCCTGCGCACGTGGTTCCTTCTAGGGAGACCACTCCCAGGGCCTGCTGGGGGAGGGGCTGAGGCCCACTCAGCCTCCAGCCAGGAGACAGCTGGTGGAAACTGTCTGCAGCCTGCTGTCCCCGGCCCCTGCTGTCTGCTGCAATAGCCCTACTGTCCCCACCTGGCAGCAGTTAGGAGGGGCGACCCAGTCACACTCTGGAGGGTCTTTCCTACAGGGCCCGGCAGAGGGTCTCCTGAGACCCTGCAGTGGCTGGGAGCATAGGCTGATAGAAAATAAAGGCAAAGGGCCTAAAATGTATCACAAAGTACAAAAGTTCTGTATTTCAATCAGTAGGCAGTCAGCTGCTGCCTCCATGGTTACCTTGTAAAAACAGGCTGTGAAGCCCTGGGAGCCCGGCTGGGAGCGCTCAGGCTCTGCTCCCCCAACTTTCCTTCCATCACGGGCACGTTCCCTCAGCTGCATCAGCGTCTGGCGCACTGTCCACTCCAGCCCTCTTGGCCAGACAGGCTCTGCGCCAAGCACCCCACACGGCGAGCTGCAGCAGCCCCTCTTGACGGACAATCCATCTTGGCACTAACTTTCCAAGTCACCAGCTGTACACCTGCCCAAGCACCCCCAGACCCCGATGGCCTGTCCCGAGAGCCACCTTCCTGCCTCTCCTCACTTTTGAGGGCTCAAAGCCCTCAGCGGGGACCCCTGCACGTAAGCCAGGACAGCATTTTGCAGGAAGCTGGCCCTCTGGGCCTCCTCATCCCGGATCCTGGCCACTTCCGCCTCCTTGAGCCGTAGTTTCTCCCGAAGAGAGGAGATCTCGCTCTCTCTGTCCAGCAGCGCCTCCCGGTGGTCACTTGCAATCACTGCAGGGGAGGAAGTTGAGTGAGGAAGGACCCCTGGGCACTGTCTGGGCACTGGCCACTGAAGACCACAGAGAGGCCAGGCAGGTCTTGCACGAGGTCCCCTGGATGCAGACACACCTAGCCTCCCATGCCAGTGCCTCTCAGAGCTGAGACTGTTCAGCCCAGCCGCCCATGGGATGACCCCACGAGAAAAGGTCCTGCAACGTGGGGGGGCTTGGGGCTCAGCTCACCTTTCAGCTGGCGCTCCAGGGCTGCCACTTTCTCCTTCAAGGCTTCCTGGGCCGTCAGCTCAGCCCGCAGGCGGCCGTTCTGCTCCTGGAGCTCCACCCGCACCCTGGTCACCTCAGCCACCTTTTCTTGGTCCTTGTTACTCAACTCCTGCCAGGCATGGTCAGTGAGAAGGCAGCTGGGGGGCCAGAGGCAGCCCGAGAGCCCTCAGCGTCCCAGCTACCTGCTGCAGCTCCTCCAAGCGCCGCCTCAGGCCCTCCACCTGCAGGCCCAGCTGGCTGGCCCGTGCCTGGGCTTCAGCCGCTGTCTGCCTCTGCTGCAGGCAGGCGCTCTGCACCTCGTCCCGTGCCTGTGCCAGCAGCCGCAGCTTCTCCTCCAGGTGAGCCAGGCGCTGCTGCTGTGGGCGTGGGGAGGGGCCGGTGAGCACCAGGGGGACCGAGGTCTGCCTGCCGTTTTCCGGGGTGTGACTGTCAGCTCGTGAGGAGTGACACTCCTCTCCGACCAAGGGGAACCTCTATTTGCAAACTGGAAACCTCACCTTTGCTGAAGCCGTTATGTTTACTGCTCTGAACAGGCTCAGCTTACATGAATGGGGGAGCATTCCTCCCTGGCTCCCCTCCCCCACCTCCCAGGCCAGCTCCAACCTCTCTAGTGCAGATGGCCAGGCCCCTTCCCACGCCTCGGGGCTGGATGAGTGGCTCTTCGTGGGGGGCCAGATGTGGTACCGATGGGACAAATGTCTTGCTCTGACTCCTCCCTACCCCCTGCACCCCTGCAGCTCCTGACCTTGAACTCCTACTCCCCTCTACAGAGCCCAGGGACAGCCCCGGTCTTGCCCGCCTCAGCCCCACGGCTGTGTCACCCACGCAGCCCCCGCCAGCCCCTCAGGCGCCCTCCCTCTGGGTGCAGTGGGCGGTGGGCCGGGCCCTCACATGGCCATGGCCGTGGGCTCACCTCCTCCAGTCGGGCTTGGTTCTTGGCCTTGATGAGCTCCCCCTCGGCCTGGCCACGCTCACTGAGCACCGCCGCCTTCACCCGGCTCAGCTCCTGCACCGCGGACGGCAGCCCGCTGGGCCTGTGCTTCCGGGCTGACCACCCGCCTCCCGAGGGCTTCGCTTGCTGGGCAGGGTGTCCACGGCCACCTCACTAAGTCCCTCTGGCCTCGTGTGGACGTGGGTGGGGGGCTGACCACGGAGGGGGCACCCAGCCCGCGGGCTCACCTCCTCCAGGGACAGCCGCACAGCCTCCAGCCGCTGCACTCTCTCCTGCATGGCCCGCTCGCTCTCCTCCAGGTGGCGAGTCATGTGCTCCACCTGCCCAGGTGCGGGGTGGGGGCGGGGCTGTCGGGGTAGCTCCCCAGCCTTCCCCCCCATGGGATCCTGACTCTAGGAGGCAGGCGAATCTTGGGGACCCCGTTCCTTCCAAGGGGCTGCCCCAAGTGGCTTCGCAGGAACCAGGATAGAGGGCACGCCCCGGTGCCACAGCCCAGGTGGCATGAAGCACACGGCAACCTGTGGCATGGCCCCAGTGCAGTTGGGGTTCTGGGTCTGGGATCTAGGGCTAGGGGAGAACTGCCACCCGGCACCCAAAGCCTGGTGAGGGGACACCGGGCCACGCTGAGGTGTGCGAAGGCCCCCGGCGGACAATGGGGAGGGCCGGATGCCGCAACTAACGAGGCACCTCTTTGAGGCGCAGCTGCTCCGAGTCCTCCAGGCTCTGCCGGGACCTCTTCTTCTCCAGCTCCAGGCGCTCTGGAAGCCCAGTGGAAAGCACGGAGGAGTTCCCCGGGGGTCCCTTGTTCCCGAGGCTCCCCATCCGCCCCTGTCCCCGGGCTCCCGTGTCTGGCCCCTCGGTCGCAGGCCTGCGTGTGCCCACCCTCAGCCCGGATGGCCCGCATCTTCAGCTCGGCTGACGTGTTGGTCAGCTCCTGCCTGGTCAGGAACAGCTGGTCCTGCTGCGACTTCACCTTCCGCTCTAGCTCGTCCACCTGAAATGGGCATCACAGCGGGGAAGCTGTGGCCTAGCCCGTGCCCGCCCCGACCCTGGGCTCCCGGGGGCGTGGCCCTGCACCCTGCACCTGGTTTCGCAGAAGCAGGTTCTTCTCGTTGGCAGCAGACAAGTCTCTCAGCAGCTTAGACTCCCGCTCCGCAGCTTCCTAGGGGTGGGATGGTGAAGGGCACTGGCGGTCGCCTGCCACCATGCACCACCTGCCCGCTCCGCTGCCCAGCCTTCCCACCTGCTGCTCCAGCCTGTGCTCCCTGGCCTGCTTCTGCACCAGGCTCTGCTGCTCCTGCTTTGCAGTGGCCAGGAGTTCCCCCAGGTCCTGGGCTTTCTGCTCCGATAGAGCCTGGGCGGCCTCGGCCATCTGCAGCCTGCAGAGAGGAAAGAGCCGGCCCCGCCCCAGCCCCACCTCAGCCTTGCAAAGGCCCCTGTTCTCACTCTTGCCAGGCCGCTATTCACCCCAGCGAATGCTCTCCTCTTCCAGGAAGGCTTCCAGGGTTACCCAGCCATTCCCCACCTTTACTTTGTACGTGGGAACTTGCGTGGATTCTTGTCTGTAACACCCTGCTCTGTTCCAGAGGAACGTCTCTAAAGCGCACTAAGGCCGCCCTGCCCTCTCCTGCCCTCCACTCACTCACTTGGCCTTGAGAGCATTGATGACGGAGTGCCTCTCGTTTAGGGCTTCCTGAAGCTGCCCTACACGTGCTGCCGTTGTCCTGTGGGCAGACAGCAGACAGCAGGGCTGGCGAAAACCAACCCCGAGAGCCACCAGCTCCCGTGGCCCTAGTGGTAGCTGCCTTTCCTCCTCCTCCCACCACACGCCACGACCTCCCCCCTGGGCAAGTGACAAGGCTCGGGTTGGATCATTTCCGAAGCTGGAGCCAGGACCCCAATTCTGGGCATTCCGACCGTGGCCCAGCTCCGTGCCCTGCGGTCCTGGGGCCTGGCTTACCGGCTGCTCCTGGCCATCTCCTCTCGCTGCTTGTCGATGGTCTCCATCAAGTCCAGAAACTGGGGACAGAGGTGGCCAGAGCGTCATCAGGGCCTGGAGCCTGCCCATTCAGCAAGCAGATGCCCGCCAAGGCCGCAGGACAGCAAAGGGAGGCTGGCTCCCGCACAGGGAGGCCCGGGGGCCCCTCGGGGAAGCCCACTTGCCTGCCCGGCCAGACTGCTCAGTCCAAGAGGCCCCACCGCAACTGGGTGTCGGCAGCTTGGAGAGGGTCCAAGGCAGGAGGAAAGGAAGGTGGCCACGACACGGGAGCTGAGGGGGCCCCTCGCCCACGCAGCCAGCGCGGGGTCAGGCCGCAGCTCTGGCCTGCGGTGGCACCGCTCACCTGCTTGGACTTCTCCTCCCGGAGATGCCGCACCTCCTTGCTGAGCACGCGGGTGCGGGCCTGGTTCTCCCGGAGGGTGGCCTCCCTGTCCTGGTTGTGGTCCATGGCTTGCTCTGTTGGAAAGAGCTGTCAGGGACCGGGGGCGGCTCAACCTCAGCAGTCGCCAGCAGCTGGGCCAGCCCTATGCCCAGAGGGCAGCTGACCCAGAATCAGGACTGGGAGGGGCAGTGTCTCAACTTCAAATCAGGCAGACCCCAGTGCACTGGTAGAAGCCTTCAGCGGGGCAGGGGTGGGGACAATGATGGGGCCAGGAGCCTGGGAGGCGCCAGGTATGGGGGACATGCACGCGGAGGGGCATTTGGACTCCATCCCAAGGTCAAAGGCCACTGCGTGATTTTTAAGAGGCAAACGCTGTGTTTAGGTTCTCTGTTCCGAAAAGACCCAGGTACCCCTCAGAGAGGAGCCAGCCAAAGGGTGCTGTGGCATCAGAAGCAACTACAGGAGCTGGGGAGACTCAGAGGCTGGCTAAGAACGAAAAAGCCAGAAGTGACACAGGTTGGGCAGACCGAGGAGGTGGTGGCCCTGTACAGAGTTCCAGCCCAAGCTTGGGCCCTCGGGTGGCTGGCACTGCCATCGGGACAAGGAGACACAGGGAACGGGAGTGTTCTGCCAGGCCTGGGGCTGAGAAGCTGGGGTCATGGACAGGGTGGCGAGACTGTGCAGGCTTTGGCTAGGACCAGTTGGCCAAGTGCTTGGCCACAAACTCGGGTGTGACGGGGCAGATGCTACTCGAGGCAGCAGCACGGGCTTCAGCGCAGGGCCCTAAGCCATACTGCCTCAGCTTCCTCCTCTGTGAAACGGGTGACCCCACCCCCACCTCAGGGGCCCTCAGAGCTGAATGAGCAGGCGCCAGGAGCCGAGTAGAGGCCGTGGGCAGTGACCGCCCTGCGAGCCCACTGCCATCGCCCCCTCCTCTCTGGTTTTTGCTTTTTCTTTTAAAGTTTTATTTTTCTCTTCTCCATTTGCAATTCGGGCTGCCATCAGGATACAGTCACAGGTCCCAAGCCCCAAGTCACCCCTCCTTGGAGGCTGGGCCCATCAGCTTTATGCACACCCTGCTCAGAACAGTGTGCCCGTACCCACGGCTCTGAGGATGTCGCTGGGAACGCTGTTCCCAGCCAGCTCCAGCCTCCACAGGGTTCTGTTGCTGGGGAGACAGTTCGCCAGGGCTCGGCCCCCCAGGAGGCCGATGTTATTCCAGCGCAGGTCTGGAAGGGAACGTATCGTCACCAGACAGGTACACCCCGGGATGCCGGCCTGGCCTAGCAGGTTCTGCTGGGGAATCACCCGCAGAGCAGCCCGGCTCCGTGCGCCTCGCCTCCCCATACCCACTGCCGCCCCGTGGCTCCGGGGAGAGGCCAACGCCGCAGCAGGAGGCTTGCTCTGCCCAGGCCTCACCCAGCTGCTGGAGGCTGGGATGGCTCTTCAGCACCAGGGCCAGCTCCTCGGCGCCCTTGTGGCTGACCTGGTTGTTGCGCAGGTCCAGCTGCCGCAGGGTGCTGTTGCCCGCCAGAGCCCTGCAGAAGGTGGCAAAGGCGTCTTCCCACGCGCCCAGGTTGTTCCACTCCAGGGTGAGGCTGCGGGAAGGGTGGACGTGAGGTGCACGGCCCAAGGGGCACCCTGTTTCCACGGGGCCCAGGGAGGCTTAAGGAGGGTCGCAGGCCTGGGGGTCTCCGGCAGGAAGTCTGGAGCCACGCTAGTAACTTGCACCCCCAGCCGGCCAGGAAGCACAGACAACCAGCCTGAAGACCCGAACTTGCAGATCACAGAACACTGTCCTTGAGAGTCAGTCTTGAACCGTGCAGAGAAACGGGACCAGGGGAGGGAGAGGCCCAGGTGCCACCTTACCTCTGAATGGACCTGTTCTGTCGGAGGAGTCTTCCCAGAGCTTCAGCCCCTGCAGCCCGAAGGTTATTGCCCTGGGACAGGAGGAGGCGGGCCAGTAACCCACCCTGAAGGGCCCCAGTCAGGCGTGGACAAGGCCAGGCACCAGTTCTGGGCAGCAGGTGTGGCTCTGTTCACACGCTGCTTCCCCTGACAGCATGGGTCTGCTGGTGCGGCTCATCCCGTGGGCTTACGGGACACTCTGGGATTCACAAATACCCACACCCCTGCAGGTGGCCACCAGAACACAGCGCGGAGCCCTGCGTGCCAGCAGTACTCACGGACACGGTCTCCGGGCACCACTCAGACCCCTGGTCGCTAGAACACCTATGTCCTCCCCCCTCAAGTGGCATGCCCAAGGGCAGGTGCTCACCTTTAGATCGAGAAACCGCAGAACGGTGTTGGTACACAGCCCCTGGAGCAGCAGAGTGGCCCCTGTAAGGGGGTAGGGCAGTCACAACCTGCCCCTGGTGGCCTTGGGCTCACCCTGTGAGCCCCATCTTGGGACGCCTCCCACCAGCACTATGCAACTCCCCTAGGCCAAGACGCTAAGGCTTCTTCATTACAAAGTGTCCTCTGCTCCTAGGTTTCAAGAAGAGACCCTATAGCTTACTTTAAGCAGAGTGCAGGAGGACGAACCTCCCAGAGAGGTGGAACCGAGTTGTCTGCTGAGGTCGAAGGACCGACCCCTGGGCAGCAATGGAGCAGCAGGGTGGACAGAGCAAGGGAAGGCCACCTCAAAAGGCTTGACCCTCGGTGCCCACCTTCCTCGCTCAGCATGCAGTCGCTCAGGACAAGCTCCGTCAGAAGTGCCTCATTCCGCAGCAGCTTGCCCAGGGCCCTGCAAGTGTCCACTGTCAGGCTCTGTGTGGCCAGGTCCAGCCGGCCGGGCGGCAGCTCGTGCAGTCGCTGCAGGACAGACTCCTGGGGCTGGGCCCCACTCTCCTCGCACAGCCGGCTGTAGGAGCGCCGGAATTCCTCCATGTCCCTGGGTGCCAACAGGGCTGCCGCCGCACGCTCCTAGAGCCAAGCCCCACTGTGCGCCAGCGGGCCGCTGGCCGAGAAGCCCGAGCCGCGGGAAGGGGACTGTTTGCCCCGCTGCCCGGCTCCTTTCCCTGATGGCGATAGGGCAGGGCTTCCACCCTGGGGGCAGAGGTCCCCCGCAGCTCAACGTGAGGCACACGACCGCAGGTCCGACCTCGGCAGCCGAAGAACGAGGGACAAACTGAGTTGGTTCTACAAGCGGGAGGCCCCAGGAGGGTGGGCGCGGGGGTGGCCGGGGACCGCCCAAGCATGAGACGGGCGCGGGGCCAGGATCCCGAGGGGCCGGGGACTCCGCGGCGGGGCCAGACCGGGCGTCGCGCGTATCCCCGACCCCAGCCCTCGCGCCG